GTACGAGGATGATACTATATAATAAATAATTAATCACCTGGGATGTGAGGATTCCTAAGTGTTTATGTGTTTTCAAAATTTAAATAACTTGAGGTATCTTTTTTTTTTCATTTTCTTATAAATAACAAAGAAGACCATACACACCTTTGCCTTTGTATTATCACTCAACAGTTATGGGTATAATGTGGTGATTCCAATAAGGGAAGATATAATGAAGTGTGAAGATGACGATGGGCAGCAAAGATAAACTTGAAATAATAAAGAAAAACAGCTACATTACTCTGTTCTATGTTAAGCTTGTTATGATTACTTTTAACACACACACACACACACACCAAAACATGAACAAACAAAATAAACATATAAATGTATGTGTGTGTGTGTGTGTGTGTGTGTGTGTGTGTGTGTGTGTGTGTGTGTGTGTGTGTGTGGGGTGTGTGTGTGTGTGTGTGTGTGTGTGTGTGTGTGTGTGTGTGTGTGTGTGTGTGTGTGTGTGTGTGTGTGTGTGTGTGTGTGTGTGTGTGTGTGTGTGTGTGTGTGTGTGTGTGTGTGTGTGTGTGTGTGTGTGTGTGTGTGTGTGTGTGTGTGTGTGTGTGTGTGTGTGTGTGTGTGTGTGTGTGTGTGTGTGTGTTGTGTGTGTGTGTGTGTGTGTGTGTGTGTGTGTGTGTGTGTGTGTGTGTGTGTGTGTGTGTGTGTGTGTGTGTGTGTGTGTGTGTGTGTGTGTGTGTGTGTGTGTGTGTGTGTGTGTTATAATGTTTTTGTAAGGCAGAACTTTGTGCCATTTATTAGTATTTTACTATTGCATTTTTTTTCTGTTATACATGATAACCTTACCTTAACAGACACGCCGGAAGGTCCTAGCAGCGGCTCTGATTGCCCGAGGAATTGACGTAGATTTGATTTCTTGGTCCAAGGTGGGGTTAATAGTAATGCGTACACCGGGCAATGTGACGCTGGGTGCCACTCCAGAGTACTTAGCTGGACACTACATTCTTCAGGTCAGTAGTCACAAATTTAATCTTTTTTTGTTTTAAGATATAAAAGGTGAAAAATACTTTTTGTAACAGATAACATGGTAAAAGCAATCAGATATATGTGTGTGAAGTTGACTGGAGTACTATTTCCCTTAATGATTAATAAGACTTTATAATCAATGAAATACTTCCCTAGGGTGCATCAAGTTTCTTACCTGTAATGGCATTGTCACCAAAAGAAGGAGAGAAAATCCTGGACATGTGTGCTGCACCTGGTGGCAAATCGACTCATATTGGTAAGTTGGGTGTTGCCCTGTATTTCAGAATATTTAGCGGGAGCATTAAGAGTGAGTGGCTGTCAGCTCTCTTGTGAAAATGGATATCACTTCAAGATATGCTTGATGACTGGAGGGTTAACTGATTTAACCCTCATGGTCCTTGTGATTGTTAAACTCCAGTGTTCAGCTTGCACTAGAGATAAATTTTTTTTTTACAGTCAATGTATATCATTAAAGCAAATTTTTTTTATCAATGTTAGTGAGATAGTCTTAACTCATGACCGCTGTTAAAGCGGAATACCGCTGAACGAGATATCATTTATTGTTTGTCGCCCAGGAGTGTGGCGACAATTTGAATGGCCAAAATCGACCCACTATGTTTAATTAGTTACCATTTGTGGTTTTTTACATCTGGCAATTGTGTCTGGGATCAGAGAGGCAGGGAGAGGCGAGAAAATGTAGGTTAGTAGCGTGCCCGGGTTCCTAGAGTGAGCATCTCTGCTACTGCCTTCCCACCTGTGATCCAGGATTTTATGCATTTGTGTAAGCATTGTGCTGTATCATGGAACAATGAGTGATTACAATGTTTTGTCGAGGGATGTACTGTACTAGTAACTATTGCATCCCTCTACAGTATTAGGCAGGACATCCAACAAAGTACATTTGTGAGCGGACTACATAGCTTAGAGGTCATATCAACTTTGGGTGGGGGGTGAGATGCAGAGATTGCCTCCCTGCCATATCTAATATTTATCCCTCCTTTGTTCACTCTGCTTCACACAGACAAACTAGTATACCACACAACATATACATTTCATATATAACTTACAAAGACTATCCGTAAGCTGTTGCATTGCCAGGGTTGTAATTACCACAATCAATCCACCTAAGTGGGAGGAGAAGGAGGGTGAGAGGGATATAAAAAGAGTAAGAAAGAAGTGGATGGAAACATGCATAAAGCACACACACACGTTTAAGTTAGACATTTTTCAACAAGAGAGATGCCAGTCTGCTGCCTCTGTTGGAGTGGTTTCTTCAGGAACAAGTCAGTCAAGAGGAATGCCGAGATTATTGGAGCTGTAATTTTGGGTAGATGAACAGATTTCTTCATATATTTATTTATTTTTATTCAGTTACATGCACACAGCCCTACATACAGAATGTACACAAAAATAAAAAAAGGCAACAATAAATGCAGTGGCTAGGGTGGTGAATCGGAGACGTAGTTATAGCCCACCACCCACACACTTCTTACACATACACACCCATTCTTTTCATTTTTCTTATTTTATGTTGTAGTTTTATATTATATTTTATTTATTTCTAAGCCACATTGTTTATATAGAGTAGAATAATTGTTAAAGAAGTCCATTTTTCTGAGAACCATGACAGAAGTCGGCTGTGGCCTGCGGGAGACGGTACACTAATATCTCAACATTCGTGAGGGATAGGTTTCTGGGACACCTGCAAATGTAGAATTTCGCGAATAATAGTCTTTAATACTCTAACTTTAATATTATAGTGTACTATAAATTATAGAAAAAACTTTATTTAAGCCCTCTAAATAGCACACAGGTATGTACAGTTATTTATACAGTTGTATTATGTGTTGATTAGAAAAAAAAAATGTGAAGCAAGTAGTGGATTGCAGAAGCGGCGATATTGTCTGCTACCTGCCTCACACGGCCCTTACCTTACCACCACCACTGCGCCATCAACACACACACATGAATGCACGCCTGACATGCAATGCTGTGAATGAAACAAGCATACGTACTTAGTACAGTCTCTCCTCGACTTATGAAGGGGTTCCGGACCGACGACCAGGTTGTAAGTCGAATTGGTCGTAAGTCGAAAAGGCGAAAATAATACATAGAAAATGTAAAATAGGTGTCTCTTTTTCTTCTCAGCACCATGAGAACTCTCACTTTTATACTTGCCAGCCATTTTAAAGGGAATTACAAACGAAAATTTTGTTAGTACACAGCGCGATCACTAATGTCGGGACTTGAAAATACGTAATTTGAAAAATATTTTATACGACTGCGGCAGTCGTATGTCAGGGTGGTCGTAAGTCGAGTAGGTCATAAGTCGAGGAGCACTCTGTACACTACTGTATACACTCGTTTAACGGAATCTGACATAACAAACTCTCGATTTAGCGGAAGGCAATTTTTCTGTTGTTTTTCGTTCGATTTAGTGAACTAGTTCGCTAAATTGAGAGTAATTCTATTAAAATGCTCGCACCTACAGAGACACCTCAGCCACAAGATATAGTAAAACCAACTTCAGCCTATGGCGAATGTACCTTATGTATAAAAATGATAAATAATATAAAAATCACCATATAAGATGCACCCCCCATTTTAGCAGGGATTATCTAGGAAACTGTTACTATAGTGCATTTTTTCCCAGCTGAGAAGAGATGCCCCGCCCCCTCCTCAAGAGTTACAGCTGATTGGCTGTTGCAAATCTGTCCGATTTCTTCCTGAAGTAATGATTTGGGGTGATGGACTATTGTACAGTATTTTGAAGCCAATAATGAAAATTAAAAGTAATTCAGGGTCCTGCTCTACTGTGTTTTGAAAGCTCATTATCAAATCACACTATACAGTATAGATGGTCAACTGTAGTAAGGTATGGGTGAAGGAGACTTAGATAATCAGGATAACTATTTCATTATGCAGCCAGTTGCTTGATGGTTGATCTCCTATAATGTGACACCCTCCATCTTGTGGCTCTTGTTAATGTGTTTGAGGGTGTAGACCCTAGATGAGTAAGCTGCAGGTGGTCTTATGAATGCTTATCCACTCCATCTAAACTGTCTCCCTTAAAATGGGTGTATTAGAGGCAAGAGGTTGTACACAAGAGGCAGAACCAGTACTGTAGAGTACTACTCCATTATTCACATGTTGGAAGTTATTCGGGCAGCAATCTTGATATCAGAGTTAATGTAGAGATGAAAGAATAAAAATATATACACACAGGTGATATGTTAAACAATTGGTAAGTTAAAGATTTTAGATTTTCTTGTATCTTAATAGTATATAGATATGTCCTCTTTTTTTTATTAATTTTGTAAATTAGATCTTCTTCATAGGGCTTTTAGCAAAAAATTTACTCAAGGGTTTAACTGAAATTTTTGAGTTATGAGTGTTATAAGACATTTTTTAATGTTTTGTCAAATTATCCTGTAACAATGTACAATAAATTGGTGTACAGCATTATGTGTTGTACTGTTATTTATATAGAAAACATTCCTCTTATTACTTTGTTATTTACAGCTGCAATAATGCGAAATACAGGGATGGTTGTCTGCAATGACATAAACCGTGACAGAGTAAAGGCCTTGGTTGGTAACTTCCACCGCATGGGGATCACCAACTCGGTCATAATTTCACATGATGGCCGTGTGTTTCCAAAGGTACAGTACTTTTATTTTTGTGTTACTTTACATTCTTAGGTTTAGATCACCTGTGACCTGGAGCATGATACAGTTAACTCATGCCTATCAATGGATATTAGACATTAGCCT